ACAATGAATAAAATAATGATAAACTATAGATAAACTATAGATGTAATAGATGTAATAAAATAAATACATTAATACTGATATTTAATTACATAATCGCATATAAGCACACCTCTATACAATCACACCATAAGGCAATCCCGAAGGGTGTGATTGTAAAGAGGGTCGACTGTATATATATTTTTTGTATGTAGTTGCGAATCTTTTTGCGAGATTTTATAGACAATGATTTAATTCAATATTGAAACAGGTACGTAGAACTAGAAAACGGGTGCATAACAATGATACATTTGCACCTAATGAAGAAAATGCACCTGCTAATGCTCCAAAATGGACAATATTTGGATATAATAGGTCTTTGAAATTATCTGTAGAGAAATATAGTGATGTTCACTGCTTTCTGAATCTTTTTAAAAAGTTAAACTGCGATATAACAAATAAGGATATTATAGGGTAATATAGTGGTTAATTTTAATTTTCTTGATATTTTCTTGTTATAATTTACACTAAATCTGATTCTTCCAATATAAATTAGCAATAGGGATGGAATAGACAATTACAATTTCAACAAGAAAGATATCAATGATAACAGTGAAGACACTGAAAAGGATAATAATAACGATCAAGATAAGAGTGATGAAGATTATGATAATGGTGAAAGAGAGGATGAGAAGGAAGATAGCGAGGAGAATAATAGTGAATAGTAAGAAAAAACCATAAAAGCGTTGAAAGCTTGGTATCAGAATAATATAAATAAATTAGAAATTAATATATATTTGGATGCTATTAGTAATGCTAATTTGCGATAATTTTTAAATGTAGCTTATGAATAAATAAATATACACAAAAATATATCAATCAGAATACCTTATTGATGCGAAATAAACAATTTTATATTGTATTAAACTAAATTAAAGTTATCAATCAGTGTTAAATAGCAAAATATCAGATATAAATAGACATTCTTATTGATACTGAATATATACCCAAATTATTGTGGCTGATTTGTCACTAAACATTATGCCTGATTGAAACCTTAGTGTATTCTTCTCGCGTCATTTTCTGACATCAATCTGTTACCCTGATTGAACCCATATAAAAAAAATAGGGGACCAATAAGGTAGAATCTAGTTATTCAGTTTCCATCTGATTGATCCCCGATTTGATATCATTCAACCTGTATTCAGATTTCTAAAATTATCAGTAAAATAGTAACAAATAAAAAAAAGTAATGTTACTTTTTGCTTCTCACTAATTAATATACAGTTTATCAAACTAATTTGAAGCTAATATAAAAATTTATATTATTTGATTCATGACTAATTGTAAAAATCCTGAGTAATATATTTTTAAAAATTCAGGATGAAGTAGAGAAAATTCAATGTTACTAGTTAATTAAAAATGATTGTTTATAAAATCTGCATATCATATTTTTTGCAAAATTTTTGATATAAAAGCTTCCTCTAATTATACTAGAATAGAATTCAGCCTTTACTTTTAAGAAGGTTATAATATCTTTATTATTAAGTCTCTAATTAGATATTTTTTTATAAATTAGAATTATACTATATAAGAAAATAAATATTACTAATAATTTCATATTTTCTTTCTCATCTAATTTATTTATATCATGAGAAATAGTAACAATATTCATCACTATAGGAATGTGTTTTTTCTTCTTTATCAATTTTAACAAATTTTTAAAGGAAGAGCTTTAAGCTTGAGAATATCTACTTCACTATCACTCATATTTTTTGTAAGCAGACTTAATAAAAAAAAATGATGCCAGAACCTAAAAATAAATAATTATATTTATACTTAAATGAAAATTTATCACATGTGAAAATTTATAATACCTCATAAAGGTAAAATCAGTTTATAGATTTAATTATCAAATTTTCAGAAAACAATGGTTAAGTAAATAAAAATTCTGAGCAAAATATTTTAAATATTGACTGATACTTTAAGATATTAAATTCATTAGACATAAACCCCTATGTAAAATATTTAATTTTAACTAATTAAAATAAAGTATATATATATATATATATCAAGTAACTGGAACTTTAAAGGGAGATTTGGAATAACTTTTCATAAAATATTATCACATGCCTTTTTTTATCTTAGGTTTTATTAGTTCTATACTGAATAGAATTCAGTTTTGAATATTTTATTTGCAATATAACTATCTCTTACTAAAATAATAATAATTTTACTATAGATACTGAATAAAAATATTAATTCTATATATATATTAAGAAAAACTATATTATTAATAATATTTATTATTTAATATCTTTATGAAGTTTCAGCTTGATATATGAATTAAGATATTCAAGGATTTTTTTTAGTAATATTTTACTAAATCATTTAAAAAGAGATAGTATTTTTATTATTGAATTTTTTAAAGAAAGTCATAACCTTTAAGATTAAAATATTATGAATAAGGAAACATTCAAAGTTTATTTGTTAAGAGCAAATTAGTTTTAAATTCTTCTTTTATATACTTATATATAAATTTATTTTGATTTAGAATATTCTCAGTTAGTAAAGAACTTTTGATTAAAAATAATAAAATAAAAGTCAAAATATTAATATTAATAACTGAAAGATAATATTTATAAATTCTTGTAAAAAAATTTACTATGATAGCATAAATGTATTTTTAAAAAAAAAATACATAAAATCAGGTAAATGATTATACTCAATTTGTTAAATTTTTATCACAGTTTATTTTTTATTTTATACTTAGATTAATACTTAAAAAGATAATTTTTATAAGATTATTTTCTGTCACTTATTAATAGAAATAGTAGCAGGTATTTTAATTATAATATAGTGTGTTTCATAAAAAGCCATCAAATATTTATTATATGTTTCAAATTTCAAAATTTATATAATCACGTGATAAATATAATACTGATTTATGATTGGCTAAAATACAAATAACATGATAATATAATCTAACAAATTTAACATCTGATTAATTAAAGTTTAAACTGAGAATAAACTTTATTTTATCAATTTATCAATATTTTCAAAACTAAAATCTGAAACAGTTCTGTGTAATTTATATTTTTTATAAAACATATAGCTTATTGACCCTTTTTTATAACATTCCATAAATTTGATAATTCAAGGTTAGGATATATGTTTCAAATTTAATTTGGGCTGGGATTATATGTTTCAAATTTTATTTCAACTTAAGAAAATACCTAAACTTTATCAGTTAATAACTTTTGATATGCATTATCAATCGAAATGATCTCAACATCATTTTATAACAATAGTCAATATCTATCGATCTACATTGAGATATTTTAAATATATGCAATAGAAGATTTTTTATTTTATTTTTAAGTTTGATAATTTTATTGGATGGCTTATTATGAAACAAACTGTATAAATATATTTATTATTAGATATAAGAAATTTTTCTACGATTTATTCATAAGACTCAACAACTATCATTTATAATATTAAAAATTAAAATTATCAAGAGCAGTTTGTTAATATTTGTTATTATAAGATTAATATTAATTTAATAAAATAAGAGTTAGTTAATATTAATCTTAATCTTAAAAAAACATTCTTCTTTTTTTTATAGATAGATTCTTTAAATTTGTTAATGATTATATTATTTATTATAATTAATTTGAAAATATATATTTTCTAAGTTCACTATAGTAATGCAAAAATATTTAAAAAATTCTTTATTTTTTTACTTCAAATTTTTTAATATTCTAAATATTTTGAATATTTCATTAGAATTTTATCAAATTTAATTAATATTCTTTTAACTGATTAAATCTATTTTATAATATTTAGCTTAATTCAATATAATTAAGCATTTTTTTTACTTTACTTAATTAATTTCTTTAAATTAAAATTTTGGTCTTATATTTTTAAATTTTAATCTAAAGTTTCTATAAAATAATTATTAATATACTATAAAGTACTTATTAAATCTATTATAAATATTTTATATAATATCCTTTCCTTTTCATTTATTATCATTATATTTAATCCAATTAGATAAATTAAACTACAACTTTTTCAATGTATTTTTTAAAGTTTTATTAAATTCTATAATAAATAAATAATTTAAATTAGCTTTTAAATATTAAATCATTAATAATAGGGAATTTTACTAGGTATTTTTATTTTTTGTAAAATAAAAAATTTGTATAAAATTTAAATTAATATATAGTTTCCCTATAAAAAATTTGCATACGTTTTTTCATTATTATAAATAAGTTTTGTATACGTTTTTTGAAATTCCGTATC